GAAGTTCATYGTTCAGTGTATTTTTAAGGTACAGCCTGGACTACACAGCTTGTATCTCCAATCTTTTCTAATGGCTTATGTCTAATGAAATCACGTATGCACGTGGGAGAAGCAGGAGGGAAAAAGTGATGATGCATTACATATGCCCCATGTTTTCTCCATGTAATGAGTAATGCCTCTGATGCCAGCGTAGTGCATTAGCACCAGTTGTTATGAGCACACTGCAGAACTGCGCCTCTCGGCATGTCGTTACTGCTCCTTCATCTGATTCTTGGAAAAAGCTGGAAAAATCCAGGAACACCCCTGTTCTGTTATGATCGCCATGTTCTCCRGCCTTTGGGCACAGATAAATGCTTTGCACTGGTGCATTGCCAAAAACTGCACCAATACAGAGAAAGCATTACTACTGCGCTCAGGTGGCACTTACGAGTGTAAGGCGCCTTTTGATGGCCATTTGAAACTTTCATAGGTCTTTTATGCATGGATTTACATACCTTAAGCTGAGGGAAAGCCTGCTTTGGGCTGAACTATTTACACACCCCTTCCTGCCCCAATAAAAGTTGTGACATTGATGTGACCCAAAATTTGAATAACATTCCTTCTCCCACCCCATAGACAAGCATCAGGTTTTATTTTGTTGTTGGATATGAGTAACGTCGCCTTGGTGATGATTATGAATGACCTCCTTTTGTCTACCTGACCTTGCTTGTGTGTAGTACTTCTTCTGTTCTAGAGTATCTTCATTCCTCCTGATGGACCTACCTCAGAAACTTAGCCTCAGCCTGTCTGAGCAAGAGTCATGCAACRTGACACCAAAGCACACCAATGAACATGCAGCTCCAGATGCCTCACCCTTCTTTGGGTGTTGGTTTGAATAAACAAATATGATTGCTTCCTCGAAGCTTATGACAAAGAATATCAGYATTTGTGAGGTAACGACTTGAAAGCAGGTAAGGCTGGACTCCTACCTACCACACCCTGCATTCTCACCTACCTGGAACTCTTTTAAAACTTCTGCAACCTTTGAAGAGAGGACTAAGGTCCCACTTCTGGAGCCCTTGCTTCCAAGGAAAGGTCCACTGGAAACAATTATGTATGAAAGGGCTACTTGCTTCAGTGAGAACTGTGGGATTCATCTGGGATATAAATTATTAAAACCTCATCTGTTGGAGTGTACTTGTCCACAGTCTAATGCTGCGTGGTATAAACAATGCAAAGAGTTTCTTCTTCTCATTATATATGGTGTTGCAATTTTCTAACATATAGGAAAAATGTGCTTTATTAGCAGAAATAGTTTCCTCATTAAAAAAGGATATTTTGTTACATCATGAGATATAAACTCCACAGAACTGGCTATACTCCATTAAATTTTACTTTTTTTTCAATCCTTACTTATCCAGGGTCTGGTATGATGTAACTTCAGGTTAAAAATCAACTCAGCTTTTACCGTGCTGCACAGATCTGCCTGCCACTGTCAACAGATTAAAGAAACAGAAAAACCCATGTGCACCTATGTACTTCTGACTACTTTCCAAGATAATYGTCCAGCAAAACTTGTGAAGAGGAGGACCAGTGATGATCATCTGCACACCTGTCCCAGTATGGCTAAGTTTTTTATATGAACCAAGGTCCAGATCTGCCTGAGTGGAAACCCCTCAGTGAACTGGGAGCTCTGAACAATGTCTAGGTCGAGTCAAACGTTAATGCCTCCGTGAGTCATGTTCATCTTGGACAGCACTCGGACAAGGAAGGGCCTGACAATACATGTGCCCCTTTGGATATGGCTTCAGTGATATTCCTGCTCTGCAGAATCATGTTCTGACTATTTCTGACTTCTAAAGCATGCTGATGACTTAATTACRAAGAGATACTTTACTTTTAAAATCGATGGTATAAATAACCTGGTCTTGTATGTCTCATTCCTAGAACACAGCATCCCTGTAAAAACATTTGCTTTGGCCTATTGATTTCTACAGTTGGTGGGGAAAAGCACCACCTTCTCTTGAAGGCAAAGGCAGAGAGCTGAGAACAAACCTCTTCCTCTTTAAGCCACCCACTGTTGTCCTACTTAATAACCTGTGTCCTCGTATCTCCTCTGTGATTATCCTTAGCAAACATTCAACAGCTAAAACTGACAGAACCACCATTAAAACTAAGATCCTACCTTACAGGCTGCAAAGCTGTGACTTGGCTAGCCTATTTGCCTGAAGGTCTTAAAATATAGCTGACACTGTGAGCCTTGGAAGAGATGTGTGTGCTGCATGATGGCACTAGGATTTTGCCTGCAATGCTCCTGCCCTTCCTTATAAAGATAGTATCATGTAGCAGATCTCATAAGTTACTAAGGTGTCAAGAAAAACTACACTTCAGTAATTTTCCCACCACCAATTTATTTTCAAATTTTCTAAAATGATATCCATTCTCCAATTTCTTAATTTCAGGAAATACATAGTTGTTTTCCCACATGTCTAAGGCTCTGTACAGGACAGGTAAAAATTACTCCCGCTCCTCAGCACCTACAGGCAGTCGAAGACACAGAAGAAATGCAGTGTCAACTGAATACCTCTCCAATAAGAGGGTRCATACCCTTTTCTTTTTGTCCTCACCAGTATCCTCACCTTGGCTGGACTGCACTATCATGATTTCCAACAGAGGAAGTTGGCACAGATTAGTAGAAGAATTTAACAGAATTAAATACATTGAAAATGTACAGCTGGAGAAAGAGAAGAAAAAGAGAGAGAGACAAAGAAAAAAAAGGAAAGTGAAGAAGAAAAAGAGGAAAAAGAATGAAGAGGAGAGGAGAGGAGAGGAGAGGAGAGGAGAGGAGAGGAGAAAAAGATAATAAAAAAGAAAAAGATAATAAAAAAGAAAAAGATAATAAAAAAGAAAAAGGTGAAAAAACAAAGAAAAAAAAAAAAAACAAAAGGAAAAAAAAAAGAAAAAGGAAAAAGAAAAGGAAAAAGAAAAGAAAAAAGGAAAGCAAAGGGAAAAGGAAAAAGTGAAAAAGGACAAGGGAAAACGGAAAGGGAAAAGGGAAAGGAGGAAAAGGGGAAAATGAGGAAAGAAAAAGGAAAATGAGGAAAAAGGAAAAGGAAAAGGAAAAGGAAAAGGAAAAGGAAAAGGAAAAGGAAAAGGAAAAGGAAAAGGAAAAGGAAAAATTGTCAAACTGGCCCAGATTAAACAGTAAGAGGTTCAAACATGGCTTTGAATCTGATCCAAACTGTGGACAGCACAGGGCAGAAGAACAATTGCATTAAAATGAATATAGAGGATCTGTCCCACAGCATGAAACTATAATTTACTCTTTGATGTTCTTGGGTTTTTTTGTTTATTTAGCGAGAAACCTATTTCCTTGAAACAGATTAGTCTACCAAATCTGGTAACCCTGAAGATCTGAGGGTGGTTTTGACACAGACATATCATCTTTATCTTTGCAATTCAGGAGTAATGGCATTGATTTGCATGCCACCATACAGATGCAAAGCCTGTGGGAGATGAGAATCAGGCCGTGAGATCAGCAAACTGTAAACTCCTGACCGTACAGGATACRCATTATGTAGTTCTTTTTCCAAATGCTGCTCCATTTCAGCATGGAACTTATTTTCATTACTTACAGATTGTTGACTGAAGGATTTTGGAAGTTTTTGTTATAGGATCATCTTTATGAAACTAGCTTTTGAAATTTTGGATCAAAAAAGTAAATGAAGAAAAGAAAATTAAGGTAGCTTCAAGTCTTAAAGAAGTGTTCTTTCATATTTTGTATTTTAAAAGCAAAGTTTGTTTTCTAAAAGCACAGTTGGACCTCCCTTATAACGTGCTTTTTGTGCAACAGGATGGCTGTGTGTTGTAGCAATGGCGAAATAAAGCATCTATTTAACAAGCGGCTCACGGTTCACACAGGAGGTGCAGCAACATGATGTTGCTGATTTACAGAATGGCGCTAGTCGGTGTTAATTTGAGGCCGTGTTGGAACGCGCTGCCCGCAGAGCCTTGCAGGGAGCAGGCCTCTGGGCCGCAGCCTGCTGCGTGCTCCCGATCCCGTCTCCTCTCTGCCACAACAAGGCGGATCCGGCAGGGAGCGAGGCAGCGCCGCGGGAGCCCCTGCCCGCACCCACAGCGGGTTTGAGCTTTCCAAAACGCTCGAAACGCTTTCCGTGGGAGCCGTTGGTGCGCCCAACGCGTCGCAGCAACACCCTGGGGACGGGCGCGAGGGGCACGTCCCGCACTGCGGCTCGCACGGGCCGCACCAGCCGCAGAGATTTCTCTTTTCGGAGAGAAATAAATAAAGGTGTGTTTATTTTATAAATGAATACAACAAATAAATAATAATTTTGGGTGAGCGAGGGGAGGGGGCGGCTGCAAACTGGCACAGTAGGAGTTATGCTGGCTGTGGGCTCTGCGGGACCGCGGAGTTTGGGAGAGCTTTAAGCTGTTTGTTGTTTATTTATTTGTTTCTTTAACTTTGTTCGCGCCCCCCACACAAACTCGGGGCGGGGCGGGCCGGGGCGGCGCGGGCGGGGCGGGCCGCGCCTCTTCTCGAGGCATTACGGTAGGCGGGCCGCGCCGCGCCCCTTCCACCTGCCCGCGGCTCTTAAAGTGGCGGCGGCGGCGGCGGCGCGCCATGACTCGCGCCGAGGTGCCCGCGCAGGAACCGCC